CTGCTATGCTACCTTTGATGAAATTAATATTAAGCAAAAAAATGTTTTTGCAACGTCATCATTAAAGTTTTTAACGTTTGTTGTCTGATGAAGCATGTTAATGAAGCATACGCACTGAGAAGAGTTTCATACACGAGGAGGCTCTTATTGTATGAGGTACGAGAAAATGTACAAGAAAAATCCAAGAACGATAAGCATAATAACATGGAATACAAACTGGACAATGTTTTAGAATTTTATTATATGAATCTTTTTTAATATCAACTTTTTTCTGTGATGTGCGTTACACGGGGTTAACAACCTTTAAATTTGTTTTATAGTGCAATTTTTTTAAATTACGAAAATGATTTCCAATGGCAGTTATTATGGATGCATGCAAGTCAGATGCAAATGAGATAACCATCTTCGTATCGGCCTCATTGCGGGCGCAACTGTAATAACAGCTATTCATATACATTTTAGTAAAAAAGTGTGTTTTTATTTAGAGCTTGAATGAAATTCTCGTATTATATTATCTTTTTAATGGACCTCTGGTTAGTACGTAACCTTAGTAACGTTTTACTATTTCTAACCATGTACCCATCACTTGAGAAAGATTCTTCAATCTAACTACATCATAAAAAATCGTTGTCTCAAGGTTACCAGTAAAGAAAGAAACAATACTCAAGGAATGACGTGGTAAAATGGTAAAACATTACACTCAATCCAAAGAGGTCCACTTCGAAAACAAAGCTTTTTATAGGCGAGAAACTATTTTACTGGACTGACATTGAAATTTGTGTCATTGTCTAGTGAAGATATATTTTCCTTTATATATTCTTTGCATTCCATAAAATGCGCAACACAACGATGCCTACTTGCGCAAATAATATATTATCTATTTACATTGATTTGGGATGATTCCAACCTTGTCGTAGATCGGGTCGCTTTATTACGATAAGCTATTTGATATCGGAATCTGAAAAACGTTACCGCGGACTGAAAAACTGGACATCAACTGATCTGATAGCTTTTTTTAGGCTCAAGGCTTTTTCTGACTAAACAAAAGCATTTTATTGTGAGATCGTCTGTCATCTATGAAGCAATTGACGCACTTCTGAAAAAGTAAAGTCCATCTATCTAGCTTGTAGATAGTCTCCTACGCTGCCATAATTATAACCATTTTCAACTGCATTCAGCTCATGACTAAGGATCTATCTTTGTTTGTGGTAAGATTAAAAGACCCATTTACATCAATCGCAGGAATCTCGAACACTCGATGTCCAGTCTCTGTCTCATGATCAAACTTAAGACTACCAGTCATAAGTTTATCAGAAGGGCACGTAACTTTTGGCCAATCATATTCACCGTTATAGACCGTGCTCCTTGATAATGGATCATTGGTTTTGAAGAGCCTACTGTTATCTTTGTACATCTTGGAAGGAACAACATTGAACCTTTTGTACTGGTCTAGAAACTCCGAGGTATCATTAAAACCTCGGTTGCCAGTAGGGAATATGTCGTTACTAACACCCGGACCTTTCGAGAGAGTTTTGGGTTGTGCAGCCCATCTAAAGCTCAGCCCATAATTCGTTGTGTCATCTAGGACATCTTCACGACCAAACTTCAGCTTGGTTCTTGGACGTGCGTTTTTGGCTGGCAAGGCTTTGCGTCCAAAGTTCCCATAGTCCATGTGTGTGGTACGACATTCTACCTCTCCATCGGGCTTTTTGTACAGCTCTGGAGACTTCTGTTTCGGTATCTTCACTTCCCAAGCCTTGTAATCGGAGTCTTTGGTCGTAACACTTGCCATCATTTGATCAGTGGCGAATAAATCGCTGACTGGACGACACATTTTAGCTTTGGGTGCGTGACGGAGATCTTTGAAGTCTGCCTTGAAGATGGAGGTACTGTCAAATGGTGCCTCAGGGGGGTTGTACTCTTCTTTTTTTGGTTCCATTTTTGGTGGTATATCTTTGGGCGTAAAATGAGCCAAGCTGGTAGTTTTTGTTTCCTGTGCGCCTTCTATTTTGATCTTATCCGGTTGCCTGGCAGTTGGCCTTGGCGGCTGGTTGAACCGATGATAATCCTGTCTGTGGATTGAAGTTTCTTTGAAAGGCTCCGAAGGAGGCATATATGTATTACTCCGCCCCATCCTCTCTAAAGGTTCAGGCCTCCAAGTTTTATAATCGCCATGTGAAGTTGATTTATATTCTACCCTTGCAGATGGTAATCTCATAGTAAGACCTTTAAGATAAGGAGGCATCCTTGCAGGGACACCCCTAGAGCCTTTGTAGTGGTCCTTATTCTCAGACACAGTGTCAAACTTGTTTGGATTGGGGACATATTTTTCCGTTTCCTTTTTCATAGGGGGCCGTACATCATAGGTCCCAAAGTCCATTTTATGAGAGGTCCTTTGTTCGAGAGGACCATCATAATGTATAAGGTCCCTTGGTCGGTTAAATGGACCACGTCGTGGGCTTGTAGACAAGTAGTTGCCAGTGTACTCAGTTACAGAACATTTCTCTTCTTGTTTTTTGTTAATGACTCTGTTGGGGTTGGAAGATTCGTGAGGACAGCGATGGCGTCTAAGTAAAACATAAAGGTACATTAGATAGACATTTATTTCGACTAGTGTTAATAAATCATCTGCGAGGCGTTTTTCTGACGCCTCTCGATAGAAAGACTTTAAGTTTTTATGGGGTCTTCAGCATTTGTCAGAATGAACTGAAGCGAGATGTCGGGCGTGATGTTTACATGTTGTAGACGGTCGTGGGTAGTCACGACAAAGCCTGTTTCTTGCGTGCCACATCAGTACAGGCGATAACGAGCCTGAAAACCCTCAAATCATCTCGTTGCAAAGAATCTCCGGTTTTCCTCTTTCATCAAAATCAACATGTGAAGTATGAATGAAGTGTGGAATGCTTAGAATATAGTGCTAAACTCATCGCCTCTCATGCAATTCATTTTCTATTAATACAAAGGTGCTTTATTGAAATCAAACGTCTCGCAAGTGCCAAAACATTTACTACAAAACGGATATACAGATGGATTGATTCTTTAAAAACACTAAAATAAAACTGAAGCAATCATATATCTTTTCATTTAGCCAATTAATTAGCTTCATCGGAAACGAGATTTAATATCCTCTCAACAGATCATTAGTATACATAACGGGAAACATATAAATGAAAAAATCCTTTAAATATTTCACTAATAAGAAATGTAAACATACCAGTCTACTACAGTTTATTGAATTAAATGAAAGTCTCTACTGAAGTCTTTGTCGCTCTTTATTGGAGCAAATACGGTCTATATGTCTAGACGTAGCAGCTAATAGAAAAACATAGTGATAACAGGATGCGGATGGTCATGTTAGCACCCATGTCATTAAAGGCTGAATACACGCATATGAGAAGTATAGTACTTCCATTGTTTTGAAAAGCTTAATAACATTAGGTATTTATGAGATCAGCTTTTTAGCATTTTTGTTGAGTGGCATGACCTCAGATTATTAAACATATATAGTTTTTGCACTCCCAAACGTCTAGTCGGTTCACTACCCGCCAAATCCCTTAAGGGTGCTCAAGCCCACCTTAAGATATCCGGAAAAGCCTTAAAATGAATACTGTAGATAGCTTAAAACAAGACAGCAATGTCTGGTCCTTGGTACTGCAGTGGATTAATATTACATACAGAAAGCTTGTTGCTAGAAAGTGAATTTCTTTTTCGTTAAGAAGGGAATGACGCAAAATAACTACACGAAAATGATTCTATGCTATAAGTGATCTTTTGTAAAGTGGAAATTTTGCGCAAAAATTTTTGATTTTTGTACATGTTTTCCTTCTTCAAAAAGACCGCTAAAATGCTTCTGGGAAACGCGGCTTGGTCAAATCTGATGACTGAATTCTTTAATGATTTTAGCGATAATTTAGGGCAAGATTCTCAGTTATATCAATTTTCTTGATATCAGTGATCTTATTAGATAAAGATGTTGATGCCACATCTGTTCGGACTCGGCAAGACCTATGAAACGAAAAAGAGATGATGCCACATCTGTTTAGACTTCACAAATCAATCCTCTTTGAGTTGTTAATAACTACAAAGAGTGTAAGAGTTAAGAAGATGATGTTACATCTGTGTCGACTTTAAAAATCAATCCTATTTGAACTGTTAATAACAACAAAATCGATCCTATAAAGAGAAAAAGGTTAAAAGGGGGCACAAGAGTTCCGTTAGTTCTGGTCTGTGAAAGACGTCAATGAGGCCAACATTTAAGGCTAAACAAAGAGTCTTCAGTGTTAATACTGTACTGTAATTCAACGTTATACAGCTAACGTTACAGTGCAATAATACCTTGGCTACTTTAGAGTGCATACCATATATCCGTGAAAGTTAACGAGCAAAATTGTACAAATAATTGAAAGTTTTGTGGGTCTACAATTTACTAAACTTACTAATTTGCGCAAATTTGTGCATTTTCTTAGGCACTTCTAGTTCTAGATACAGCAGCCAAGAACTTCAAAAAACAATGTAAAAGTCAAGCCAAGATTAGTTTTTTATGATTTAAACGTGTGAAATCGGTTGCCAGAGGTCAGTTTGCGTGAGCTTGGGCTAGGATAATACCTGTTACATCAAAATAATGATCAATGAACTATGACCATTGATATTTATATATTTCAAGTGTATTCTTGTGCGTAGGATGCATTTGATATTGCATACGAATCTTTCACTATAATTATACATTTGATGATCCACTCAAGAGGGAAAAGATCACGTTCGTTAATTTTCGTTGTCATGGCAACTGAGGTTGTGGTTACGATAACCTTAAGTTTAAAAATCTTTTTGGTGTCTTCTGCAAACATTAATTGTCCTTAGCAATATGGTCATTCTGCATTCACACCAAAAATGACTTGGAAATAAATCCTTAGATTTTAAAGATGTAATCAGCTGCCACCGAAAGAAATACTCTCTCATAAGTTCAGTAAGCCAAACACTGCACTTACATTCAAAGGTGCAGTTGACCACGCCCAAAAGCACTCCAGAGCCATTTGCATTATAAAGAAATCCTTAGATTGATATAACAATATCCAAAAGGTATTTTGTTTGTACGATTAAGATGGCACTTATCTGACGCCCTTACAACCACTCCTTTTCACTTTCAATCCAAAAACATTCACACCACAAAAATTCATTGATTCTTGATATGATCTTAATTCAAATTAGAAATGACCATGTTCCTCTAAAGCCTTTCTATAAACAACCAGAATAAATCATTAGTCTTAATCATCATTCCTGTGAAAATTGAAGTTAAAAAGCCATCGCACAAATTTCTTAATTTTTGATTTGATTTTAATTAGTATCAGGATATTGGAAATAATTACCCAAAGCCCTCAAAAAAAACTGCTCAACTTCTATAGGACTCGCAGTGTATAAAACACCATCAAAGCTTATTCAAATCAAAAGTCTTTCAATTCGGATTCGAGTGAAGTATCTAGGAGATCGTGTTATGAATTCGGATGTCAAAAACACGAAAACAGCTTTTCGATCAATTTGTTTATTTATATACGTTTGCCCTATAGGAATTACGTAAGAATATTGTTGACATTGGGCAACGAAAATAATATTTTGCGACAATTAAACTTTTAAGCCAAAACGAAAACTAAATCTCATCACGGCCGATAAAACTCTCATCATGAAAAAGACTGGCCCGTTTAGAATCCTTCGCATGATTCTCTACTATCTTTATATTATTATTATTTCAATGATTTAAAAAATGAAATTGTTTTCCCTGATGACGTCCAGTGTGCTATAATTGACCAGCCCAGACACCTATAATTTAATGACGGAAATTAACGTTTGAGTAAAAGTGACTCCTACAAGAGCAAGAGAAGGCAGGCAGGCTGTTGAACTCAGATTTGATATTTTCCCTTAGGGAATTCGTCTCAGACTTACAAGACACTCGATTTTTTTCGACAGTTTGTTTTAGAGTTTTAAACAGGTCAGTTCAATCTATTGACTGGTTACTAAACAAATTATTCTAATTTGATATACGTTTTCAATTTAGGAGCCATCAGACAAGACGACAGAGAAGATTCAATACAAGTTCAACTCATGTCATTCGTGTTCATAACTTAGAGAGACAAGTCTGGGGTGAAAACAAGGTCAAAAAAGACACGAGGATTTGGAGGACGAATCTGAGGTAAGTACAGAGTCTAGAGAGAGAAAGACTTAGTTAATATCCTACTTTTTTGTTTCGTGCGAATCCCCGTTGAAGTTTATAGACCATAATACCTCGCAGAAGCCACGCTGATATAAACATTATTGTACAATTGTGATTAACGGAAATTTCTTTATGACACTGTTGACAATTGTTTCGGTTTTCTTTTAAGGTCATTCTTTTGTGTATAAATATTTAGTAAGAAAAAATTAATAAGAGACCATGCACTTAAGCTTTTTTAGTTGTAAGGATGATACAGCTCAAAAGTAAAMGAAGGTTGTTTAATCATATATTATAATAATCTAATGCACGATAATTTTAGATGGTCCGTGTCTAATCAGAAAGATCCATTCGTGTCATATATTGTAAGAATCAAAAGCTAAAACGAAACGAATTGATAGAAAAACATTTATGATAAAAACAAGATTTATAGCACCGCACTCTCCTTTTAAARACTATAAAGACAGGCTACATTATGAGAAAAAATATTTAATGACATGACATGCAGTAACAACAGCCAAAGGCTACCCTCCCTATCTTCCTGTAAACAGGTCTCAGAGACGCATTATTTTATCATCATTTTATAGATAAGATTTTAAAGATTTTCTTAATAAAGCAAAGCTGGTACAGCTGAAACATATCGATCGTCTCGGTGACATACTCCTTACAACCATGAATGGATAATGTTAAAGCTATGTTGAGACTGTCGCAGAACGTGTGCTGAATAACTGATGAAAGCGAAATGGTCGATATTTAAAATAATGCCTTTGGCAAAATGGGTGTGGTCAGTACACCCTATCATTCCTTCCGTCGCGCCTTCTCCATCGTGGAGGTCTAGTTAGGCGTGCACGGACAGGGAACCTTTAACCATGCATTTAATTTTTATTATATGTATTTTTATTGCCAAAGATTTTTAGACGCAACTGAGTGGCGCTCTGTATGGGTATATGTCATTTGGGAGAACCTACATAGCACTCAGTTAATGTATTCAGATAATCAATTGTTTTTCTATCTATTGTTTTAGGTTTGATTTATTGTATTTCTTCTACGTGGGCTCTCCCGTCTTCTTGCTTAGTATACACACAGGGTACCCGTAAAGAAGTAGCCAGAATGAAACCTTAAGAGAACTTTTAGATTGTGGGTTTATGATTCGGCTGCCGTAACTAAGGATGTCTCTTATGTCTCTTCATTACAGATTTGAATGTAAGGCAGAAATAAGTAAATTAGTTATATCATCAATATATAAAGTAATATATTAGCTAGTTGTCTCTTCTTACTGGATGAAAGTGTTTGACTGTCAACGACATTCTTTAACTACATGTGGAAACCGTAAAACCTTGAAAAACGTTGTCTTCATCACACTCGATAGACCTTGGTAACACAAGTACCAAAAGTACTGAAGGTCTTAAAGGTTGGTACCTAGGTGACCAAACAAGAAGCATTTTCTTTCAAGATCCAAGGGCCAATATAATGTTTTTCAGAACTATGAAAAAAATCTTCCTTTTTCACAAAATTTCAGCCTAAAATTACTAGTCGTGAATATTAGAACAAAATTTCTTGGATAAAAGCGACGAAAACGGTGTAAAATAACGTTTTCGTTCCGATAATCCGTAGTCCAGTCCAATCCAAGCATGCACGGTTCCTGATTTTCCAAAATATAAAAACTCTCAAAAATCAAAATTAAGAAGCACAAATCAGATTTTAGAGGTTGGGTATGTTTTTTCTATGCACTACGCATATCCAGACTCTTTCAAAAAATGAAAATTCGACATTTTTTTGCGATCCGTTTCATCCAATTCAATCCAACCTTCACAATTCCTAATTTTCCAAAATGAAAAATATATCTTAAAATTCAGAGTTTAGAAACAAAGATCAAGTTTTAGTGTTTAAGGATTGTTCTACCATAGGCTATACCTGATTATACTTTCCTTAAAACAAAAGAGTCAGCGATCGAATATATATATATATAATTTATATTATTGCTGGAGTACAAAACAGATCAGTATCTCAGCTACTAAGTACATTACTGACTCGTATTAATGATGGTTTCAGCATGTCAGTAATAAAATAGAAATCAACAGACCACACAAACATTAGTCGAGTCCATTCGGGCATCACCTTCAATCGCCATTTACACAAAGGTCCAAAAACTGAGACAAGTTGATAGCATTTAGTCTGAGTACATTTTCTATTCACTCGGCTATTTGTTTAAGTTATTTGCTAAGCAGCCCTTAGGCTGATTAATTTTAATTAAAACTAACAGACATCGAATTCTAGAAGGTCATAATTTATTTTAACGGTCGTATAACAAACACATGGCACACATATTAACGTGCACAGTTCTTCTCGTCTTTCATTTAGAAAAGATTCACGCCGATAAACTTTTATCAAAACTAACTACTAGCATCGTTTTGTAGTAATCATGATTTCATATGACAATACTGTTTTTTAAAGAACATATTGATGGTCAACTTTAACTACAAAGTTTCACAGATTTTTGAATTATCCTTGTTGATGAATGTCTTCGGCGTTTTCCGTGAATGGGGTACAAAAAAAAACAACATTAAACAGAATCTACGGAAATTCATTACAATCCGTATCTTGAGAAAGAAAGATGATTCCGAGTCATGTCAAGTGAATGATACAAAAAACCACTCGAAATCAGTGACACGAGTTTATCTTATGGCGGCAGTGTAATGTCATGATATTGTATCTGTACCATCTCCGACTTCTTGTTTTAACATATGCTTTCTGTCGGAATGATCAGAGATGTCTTCTTGGTTCATGACTTCGGTTTTTATTGGGGGTAGGGCTGGGTGGATTCGAAGTAAACTTTTTGAAAATGGTTGTAGCCCTTCTCTTTTCATTCAGTAAGAAATCCATGACCTTCCTATTGAGTCAGCAAGAAAACAGCTTTTACATTTTATTGGTGAACCTCACCTCTGAAGGCCCAGCCCTTCCCCCTCGTAACTTCCCTAATAATGTACTGTATTAATACTTTAGTTTAACGTAGTTGAGGACAGCACATTTTTATGGGTATTACACGGTGGTGGTGTTAGGGGAGGGGAGGGGTAGATGAGATTTTGCTGCTCGATCATTAAGAAATTTTAGGGCCCCTTGCCAACATAGAAATGTTTCTACATAGCTCTTCCACATGTTTTCTTTTTCGCGGATGACCCAAACCCTCCACTTCATACTTGATATATGATAAAACCGGAATAGTATAGGGTCCCCCGTAGCGCGTTCTTAGTATCGTCACGCAACGCTCCCTCCCACTAACCCGTTCAGTGGGGAGGGAGCGTTGTGTGACGACACTTAGAACGGCTGCGGGGAGTAGGAATGGTGAGGGCTAGTGAGCTTTAACTTTCTTTGATATTCTCCGTAAAGTCTAAAGAGTGAATTGTTGTATAAGGTAAAAACAAATGATACCTAGCGTTAAAACTAAACAAATGTTGCCACGTTTTAATCATCAAGGTCGAGAATAGTTAATCACGATGCTATAGGGCTTGTCATTACGCTAAGGATGGTACTTTAGTGGTTCCGTATTGTTCTCTTGGATCGTCGTGATTGGATAAATTATATGGAACCGTTTTAGAGTTTCAAGAAACACACTTGCCCTATCTAATCGTTACGCATGCGCATACGGTCTACCAAGTGTTGAAGTTAAGCCGACTTAAAACATAATCAAGAATAGCGAAAAACAGTTCTTTCTGCTTCTAAGTGATCGGATTAGCTGATATAAAGAGCCTTGTAGTGGGTTTTGTAATACTCTCTTTCTTTAATACGAATATATAGTGAACTCTATACACAGCGCTCTTAGTCTTCTTGTCAACATAAATGTTATCTCAGCACTTGACTGAAGTAGCTTAAATACCGAAGTCCCTAGGAGCGAGGGTGCATGGAGAGCCTTTGCTGCACCGCTCTGAGAAATAACGAAAAGCAAAATGATTGATTTTAATTAAGAGGAATGTCGAGCTATCTAGGAATCCTTATCATAGAAGCTGGTCGGTGATATGATTGAATCTCATCGTAGAGAAATTGTCCGTTTTGTCGAGGTCGAGAGAACATATGTTCCACATCATGACGAGATCCATTTCACCGCCAATTATCAGCAAATGACTCTTCCCGAYCCATAAGGAGGCTGTGTTAAAGCAGTGTGATAATGCGTTAAAGTATAGAACTGTTGGTGCAATGCATATCTATGGAAGTGTTTTCCCATGACTTCTCAATTTTGCACAAAAATAATGAACACTCTTAAAGCTTTGGTGTACAGATGTTCGTTAAATGGAAACACTCCCAAGAACCAAAACGAATTCCATACTAAGAATTTAGCATAGCTGAAAAAGCCAGTTATCAGCCACAAATAGCTAACATTACGAGAAAATGAATTTCTAGACTCGGGTCAATTGACATAGTCCAGGCATTGGACAGATAGTTCAGTGAGACGACCTAGACTAGCCGACTTCAAGGAGATGTCCAGATTTGAATTCAAAACTTTCAACGTTATAAAAGACAACTACAAACTGAGATCAGCGTAAGATCAGTACCATACGATTCAGCTATCACTATAATCTTGACAAGGGCTGCCGGATAACACTGCTCTTGGTAGACTAACAATATTCACTGTATGTTAAAACTAGACTTTATCTGCTCGTTTGTCTCCCCTAAAGCTACCCCCTATCCTCATCCGGTCTAGTAGAAAAACTGACAATAATGTKCTGCTCTTGKTAGACTAACAATATTCACTGTAGGTTAAAACTAGACTTTATCTGCTCGTTTGTCTCCCCTAAAGCTACCCCCTATCCTCATCCGGTCTAGTAGAAAAACTGACAATAATGTGCTGCTCTTGTTAGACTAACAATATTCACTATAGGTTAAAACTAGACTTTATCTGCTTTTTTACCTCCCCTAAAGCGACCCCCTATCCTCATCCGGTCTAGTAGAAAAACTGACAATAATGTGCTGTCTGCGCAGCATTTCACGGGCATGGATGATGGGGAAGGGGTGTGAGTGTAGCAACTCCCCTACCGCCAAATTTGATTACCAAAAAGTTAAGAAACCTTAGACAAAGGATTCTAAACGCACGAATTATCATAGGCTCACTTGAGTTGAGTGTTTCATTTCTTCTTCGTTTGCCTGTCCCTCTCTCCTACAAGTGCTGCATGCATTTCCCCTTCTCACCTTGGTGTAGGAGTATCGATAAGGTCTAGCCGTCTATAGCGTAATGATTTTTCCCACAGTGTGTTCAAATACCAATGTGTCCTCTAACTAATCCTTACAAGGATCGATTTCTAAATGTGACTCAGTTCTTATCGGATCAGGCTAATGCAAGCAGACAGGGATGCTCTAATGAACCAAGTCAAGCAAATCCAACAAATCTTTTAGGAAAATCCGCTTTATTTCTGCTTCCCTAACAGCGGCTTCGCGTAGGAGAATTTCTGGGAGGCGGTCTTCTATAAATATTTCTTAAAGAGGCTTAGTAGAGAGCCTTTTAATATGGATGTTCAGAAACATCTTTCTCTGATTTCTGCACCCTCTTACTGCCCAAATCGCCAATATCAAGAAGCAGGTTTAAGTCTGAACCCAATTTAAGTCTATAAGTTTAAGTCTGTTTGAGAAGACAAAGAAAAGAGTCCAAGGACGAGTAACCGTTTTTGATATATACAATTGCTCTGCAATCCAAGATACTTTGTTTTTCGTTATCAGAACTATTTTACTGGCATTCTAGTAAACTGTTTTTATTTGACCCAGAATTGGGTCAAGTCTCATTAAAATACTCGTTAGAACGGTCCCGATTTTATCTACAACTTCAAATAAACACGAAACAAAAGACCATTGTGCAATATCGACCTTCAGAGCTTACATGTAAAAGAGCGTCACAATTTGGGGGGGGGGGGGGATATTTATGTTCCTCTGACAAAACTTAACAGCTTCTCAAAACTATCCAAAAAATGCATGAAACATTACCATTAGATGGTTTCAGAAGACATGTTGCTCAAAAGTTGTTGTAAATAGAAAAGACTGGAATTGCATGGTGCATTTTGCAACATTTTGCAGGCTTGCGCGCCACTTCCCTTTTACGTAGTTAATAAAGGTGTTAAAAAATCTTAATTAATATTGTATATGTGCTAGAATTCCAATATAAGACCTTTGGCCTTGTTTTCTTAATTGTAGATAAAGTTGAGGGCTTTGGTATCCGCAAGACTTCGTTTAGCCGTAGATAGAATCCGACACTCGTGTCTAAGAGGCCCGGGACGGTCATTCTGCTGGAGCAAGTCTGGTAAGAGGACACGAAAACCCGCCAAAAAACTCGCCTTGGAAGGGACTTACAACAGCGTGGAAGTACCAAAAGCAAGAAGGTAAGAAACTGATGTTTTTTTTAGATAAAGCGTTCTTTGTATTCTAAGGGAAGCTACTTTCTGAAATTTACCGACAAATAATGCAGAGTTCATGAGGATTAGACGTTATCATTTTTTCTTGCAATACTGTAACTAATTCACTAAATACCATAAGCTCTACGCCTTGATTCTATGACCTGACTAGACTAGCTACTAGATTCTCTTTGATAATTAAAAAAAATCTCACAAGACTTTCCGTTTCAACAAAAACAATTATGTATTTTGAAGGCAATAAAGTAGTTTTTGTTCAAAAAAATCAGCGTCAACCTTCGTAAAAAGTGTGTATATATATAT